CTGCTGAGATTATACAGACTTAATGCAATAATTACTGCTTTTCTGATGGCTTGAAGGGGGGGGGGTATGCTCTAAATAACAAAAAGCAAAACCATTCTACCTGTATTAAACTTATTATTTATGCATTTATGGGCTTAGTAAATATAAACAGGAAAAAAAGGCCAACAAATAAATGTCCATCCTCCCTCTCCTTGGAGGATCTGGTACTCATGGCATGTCCTGGTGCCATATTCTTCAGAATATTTCAAATTCTCATTCTCCTTTCCTTCCCAAGGATTAAAGTTTTAAGAGTCCAGTTTCTGTAGATAAATTACAGAAATGTTTCCTGGAAAATATCTGAAATGTGTTGTGCAGTTAGCTGCACCCAGGAAACAAATGCAGATTTTAGTCCAAGTCAAATGTTTTACAGATCAATTAGGATTTGAATGTTTATGTTATAAGACTATAACATAAGAGTTTATGATAATGTTTCTTCAAAATTGTTCTCAGTGAAAAGTAAGGACACATTCAGAACTAATAACTTTTCTCCCTGAAGCTCTTGAATGTATGTTTTAGTCACCACAATGCCTGTATTGAATTGGTAATGTAAATATCAGTTATTGTTAACCAAGATTAATATGTTTCAGGCCAAAGGTAATGGTATTAGTGTAATGGTGATTTACTGTGTAAGTACTTGAGGCTAAAACAACTTGCCAACAAATAGCAATTTGAAGTTTTACGGCACCAATTCCAAGAGTTTAGGTTTGCAGTCCAACATGGAATAGTGCATTTTTGTTCATTAGCCCTCAGGATGTTTGATTCATTTTCTTTTTTTCTATTTTTTTTTTTAGCAGAACATTGTGTTTCTTCCAAAAGAAGATGAGAGTTAGCAATATGGTAATCTGCAGTTAGCTGTAATTAGTTGTGATGACAGAGTCGATTGTAAATCAGGGTCTAAACAGGTTTCTGCAGTATAACATCGTAAATCTCACTATGGTTTGTAAACTACACCAGCTTTAGAAACTTTGGTGTGGAAGGAAGCAAGTGATACCTCTTTGTAGAGGTAAATTTCCTGTTTACTTGCATAAACAAATTGATTACACCATGAACCTTCCTGAAGATTTTTCTCAGTTCCACATGTTCCTGTCCAGAAGTCACAGGCACTCTGTCCTTAACTGCTGCTGCCTTTTTTAGCAGCTGGTGTAGGAGTGTCAGATACAGGTGACCCTTCTGCTTGTTATATACTGAAAAGCACAATGGTGCTGATTATTTTGTGCTGGAAACATCAGCAGTATTCCATTAGACATTTAAAAGTAATGCATATTGAACAGATGCTATATGTTTTCTTGTAATAGTTGCTCTAAATAATATCAGTATTTCTTACTCAAATAAAGATCTTTATCTAACTGTAAGGATCAGTTCTGTTGGATATGAAAATGTGTTTTAAAAGAAATCCAAGTACTCAAAAAACAGCTATTACCAGAACTTTCCACATTGTATTTGTCACAGCAGTGCATACCCGGCCACCTGTAATATTTTTAACTTAAAATAATCAGTTTTACTAGGCCATTAATTGTGTGACTATGTAGGAAACAGAATATTTGCATTGGGTTACTTGTGTGATGAATTTAAAAATTATCACAGTTGAAGTATTTTGATCTTCCTAAAGTATTTGCCTAGAATATTAGTTAATTCCCAGAATTATGGCATGTTAAAAAAAAAAACCCACTCTGATTAACTGGAAAAATACAAAAGCCTAATAGAGCTTTATGGAGATCATCTGAATACATAATAAATGAATGCATAACTGTACCCTTAGTAATTGTCCCTCTAAATTGCTGATCTGATTCTAAGGTGTCTTGCATTCCTGTTTGTGAAGTAATTTTTCTCTGTGCTGTGCGTTTTAGCCAAACATGTAAAACAGCATTCTGAGATTTCACTTCTCCTGTGTTTTAACAGTGTTAAAACAATCCAAATGCTTGTTTCAGTTAACTGAAACCTTTTTAATCAGCTTAAATATATAATCTCTTACACTGAACTAAATTTGAGATGTAATAATTCTTTTAGCAAATGACAAGGTTGCACCATCTCCTCGTTTGACTGAAATGTATCTAGAGGAATGTACTTAACAGATTCGTACTGAAATTAATAATTTGTGAAGCCAAATATTTATTAGAAGCTCATTTGATGGTATGTTGAGTTTGGCTACAGTTAAAAGTCAGTCTTGCCTAAGCTCCTTCCTATCCCTCAGAAGCCTTAAAAACCCCCCTAACTGCATGCACTAGTTTGCCCCAATTTTTTCTCCACCACCACTTCATATTTCTTCCAACTACAGTCATAGTACCTTCTTGGATATCTTGGAGTAGTCTAAAATCATTTGAGGAAAGAGCTCGTAGCTTCCCATGTTGACTTCTCTGGAGTGAACAGGGAAACTAATTTTGAAAAGGAAAAGTCCTCTTGCAGTTGTCCATTGTTCTTGGAACGAGGATTGTATCTTGAGCTACCTGGCCCAGTCAAAGTTGCTTATGTTGGGTGCCAGTAAGGCCTCCTAACTAGGTTTATTGCTGGGTTTGGGTTTGCCATAGACTTGATTGATGTGAAGTTGATGGCTCTGTGCCCTGTTTCACTAAGCAGCATAGAAACCCCTTGGACACTTTTCACTCACCTGAATATCATACTTCTTCATTTTTACCCTCATCTGGGCATAGTCCAGATTGGTGTTCTTGCAATTCCATTGCTTTCTAAGGCTAACACAGTCAAGAAATAAATTGTTTATCAACTCCTGTGATAAAGTACATCCAGTTTGAAGTTTGACAACAGCATCCTAATACAATTGCTAGTATTTCTTATTAACTGCATTCCTGAGCTTCTAAACCAAAGAGTGGCTGCAGGGACAGTTTGACAGATAAAAACGTATATATAGTTGTTAGAATTTTAATAGTTTTTTGCCTGCAACCATAATCTGTATCATTATTTTTTGTAGTTTAATTCTGTTGGACAAGTTTCAAAGATAAATGTGGTGTGTAATAAGCCTTTGCAACCTCTAATTTGTGAAGGAGTGTCTGTCCAGTTAATACTTGCTCATTGAAGCAAGGGGTTTTGAAATAGCTGAAGTACGAACTGTAATTACTGATGTCTGTTTCCTCTTCACCTGTGGCTTCTGGCATTTGATCAAAAAATGTAATGTATTGCTTAATCTCAGAGCATTCCCAATTTTCAAAAAAATATTTGCTTCATGAGAATTATACAGCACTAAATGACCTGAGCAAAACCAGAGTAGATGGTTATTTGGCATTGATCATGTGTTGTTAATCCACCAACAATTATTTTTTCTGTTATTTTTACATGTTGGTACTTCAGATATGCATGTATTTATAATGCACTTCTAGTGTAAGCTCAAACAATTAAAGTTTAAAAAATATTAATAATAGGGTGGGGATTTTAGTTCACAAGTGGGGTGGCTAAAAGAAGATACAAAGGTCAAGCAGTTTGTGTGAGGGCGAACTGCAATCTGGCAGCAAAGTGGCAAATGGAATCTCCTGGTTTGTGTGCATTTTGTCATACCTGGCAGTAACATGGAGAGTGAAGTCTTGAATATGTGTGAGGCAGGTGCCTAAATCTCTTTGAAGGCAGTTGGGAATTGGGTACCTCATTGCCATCTCTCCTACTGAGAGGGTGGAAAACAGGGATATTGAATGCAGGTGTTCCCAGTATCACAAAAGTGGAAACCCTGTTTTCGTTTGAGAAAAGTTGTCACCTTTCTTGTTCAAAAATGCCTGCATTGTGTTGATCTGCTTCCAGCTGTGTTTGTTATACCATCAAATCTTGTCTTCCCATTTTCCTTTGGACTGTGTGTAACAGAGTTGAGAGTTTTTCTCTGCTTAGAATTAGACCTGGAATGTAACATTTTCTCAAGAAGCAGATGAGTGAAACCAATACTAAGAAATGCAAACAGCCCACCTCTATGTAAAATAAGCTCTACAGCTTTTGCATGTGATTGTTTTTACCATGCTCATTCTTTGATTATATTCCTAAATAGAATTGGTACCATCTGAGGAAGGGAAAAGCTATTTGCAGTGAGAAGACAGCAAAGATGTTGGTTGAGTTGCACATCACAGCAGCGTGTTAGTTACTGAATCATCACCCTGACTGCAACAGTACATCATTTCTCTAGGAGTTTCCCAGGTGTGCTGACTGCTGGGCTCATACAGGTGCCTTCAGATCAGTGTAAAGTGACCTCCCATTGAAATGAGCAGTGCTGTCCTGCAACATTTTTGCAAATTCATATGATGTAAGAGGGTAGGCAAAGATAGAAGTAAGGATTCTTGCTTAAATGAGAAGCAACTGCTTTCTATCTGATAGCAAAAGAGGGAGCATTTTTGTTGTTGAAATGACCAATGTATCCATATGCTCCAAATAGCAAATCTAGATATTGAACAAAGTGTAATGCTGCCTGTGGGGTCTCTCAGCTAGGTGGTATTTATGGTATTTTAAGGCTGTGTAGAGAATTAGTTGCTGACTTTGTGGGACCTTCTTTAATATGAAATGTTAACTGGCCTCTACTGCTAGAGACCATTAATTCCAAACTAGTAAATCCCTGAATTTACTGGAACTGCACAACAAGACAAGGAAAAATCCATCTGCATCTTCTGTGCTGGAAAATAATCACATTC